TCTATATAGTAGATGCATTTAGGCATAGATTAAACATTTAATCTATGATTTAGGGCATCAATGGATTGGGGGATTAGACTCATTATGACATCCATAATGAATTTCAAACACCTCGACGAAAAAAAAAAGAGTTGGAAATATACAGGGTGTTTCATTCAAAAAAACTGATTTCGACTATTTTTTTTTTCATTTTGCGATTCGCATCTGTTCGTCTAAGGAAAGCCAAAAGATAGTAAAGATATGAGATCCTATAATTATCATATTCGAAGTTTTTCCACCTCGTATAATTAAAGCTGTAGGTAGTGGTGAAAATATACGGAGACAAACTGTACATCGCATGAAGTTTTGATGCTGAATAAGAATTCTAACTCAAAATGTCATATATACTATCTCGTATACTATATACTGAACGGGTTAAGGGTAAAAACAATCTAGTTCATTTATATAATCTTTTTTCCATTCTGATCTCAGAAAATGATATGAGCTTAAATTTTCAAAATCATACTGAAGTGGTTAGCAGTAAAAATAACTTCCTTTTTTATATAGCGATTATTAAGTTTTGTGGACCAGACTGAAACTGCTAGGTCTATCTGTGGGACGATACCTACTGAGGAAAGTTGTTTTTTTTACTCTACTATTGGAAGTTGCTTTTAAGCCGATTGACTATCCCAGAATATTTTGATTGATTTGTGTGCACAGTGGATCAATTTCCAATCTTATTCTGTTCACTTATAAGTTCTAGAAACAAAGCACACAATATGCATGTCAGTTTTCGTATTCCGCAATCGTCTTAGTACGAGCATTGTCAATTTAAATGAAAACCTACTAGGCGACCTAGTTCGAGGAGGTATAATAGATCTTGCCTACTAACTACCTAACTAGGTTGTCATCTAGAACTACAATGGTACGAGCGTGTCGTCACTCTGCTCGCAGAATTTTAGCGGAAATTTACCTGTATAGTTTCTGTTTTCGATTATTTTCAAATCATTTCAAAATTTGTTTGTGTTGATCGTTAATTTAAAAGAAATACGTCTTTGCGTCAGTACTAATCTGGTCAATTTTCCTTGAAGGGACTAGTTCGGCAAAATAATGACATATCACATGATCATTCGTTTTCACATCAAAGATCACATGGGACTGCTTTGAAACACTCATGCAACTGGAAAAGGACAACAAAGTCACACTTATGTGGGTTCCACAGGGCATGACGGAATCAAAGGAAATGAGCTAGCTGATCGCCTTGCAAAAAAGGTGCTGCATCTGCACTTTTTGGTCCTGAGCCTTTTTGTGGTCAACGACAAGCGAAAAGGTTCATCAATAACCATTCGCAGAACCGAGCCAAAGAGCTACTCAGCCTCAGCAAACCAGAGCTAAAGCTTATCACAGGCTTTCTCACAGGACAAGGCCCTCTGAGGTACCACCTCAAAAAGATGGGCCTGGCGGAGACTGAAACTTGCCGCTTTAGTAACAATGCGACCGAAACCGCGGAACACATACTTTGCTCATGTGAAGTATTAGTCCGCCAAAGGCTGAACCACCTAGAACAGGTCTATCTCATCCCTGCTGAGGTGGAAAATTCAACCGTAGGATTCATCAGAAGTCTAGTGTTAGAGGACCAAAACTAGATAAGGGTAATCACAATAGATCTTCTGGGTCACAGTGATCGAAAGGTCTCCCAGCCTATACGACCCATCTACAATCTACAATCTACAATGATCACATGCATACGATAAGAAGTAAACGATTCAATACTATGCAGATTTGAAACTTCATTTAGTGATAATATGAATGAATCAAATCGGAAATATTACTTTTCACTTATCAGCACCACAGAATGGAGAATAACATGACACCTGCAACTTGCAAGCAACTCAACATCAATGCTCAATACTGTCTGTAGGTTAATCGAGGAGATGGTACATTCATTATTCCAGATTTTTTTGGGATTTTCTCTCCTCGTCTCTATTAAATAAAAATATGAATTCTATTTCAATATACTTGTAATAAGGACAAATCCGATGATTTGCTCCAAAATGTCACTGCGTCACAGAGCCTAAAAGAAAAATTCACTAGCTTGTCAGTGACGATTTGTATCGAAAAAGGTTTGGAGAAGAGAAATAAAGGTACATAGACAAAATATCTACTTTCGTGATATCTTCTCAATATCAATATGCCCTTTGTCCTGTCCCAGAAAGAAATAGTGTATTATGCACTGCACATTTTTTTTTCACAAAACGCAACTAAAAGCTAAATCTACTACATTTTTCCCTTGTTCAATAAATAACTATTTCGGATTCATATTTCAAACTATTGAAAAACAAAAATTATAAATCAGAATATCACGGTCTCTCAAGAGGTTTTTTTTATATCAGTGCATTTTTCTGAAAATCATATTAATTTGAAGCAATAAGTTCAGTGTTCAGAATCCATTCAAATACCTTAAATACCCATTATGACTGTACATATGTCTGTGTATCGTAGACACACATTAAAGTATAAAGCAATGAACTCAATGTAAGTTCAATGGTATATAAAGTGGGTCCGACGGTGGTTGACTTGGTTACAAACTTTCCACCTTGTTTCTTTTCTATCCAAACTACGATGGCGCACATAATAAATTCGCCATTTTATTTTATGTTAGTTTATAAACATAAAATTCCAACTTTCGCGAACAGTACACTCGACGTACAAAAAATGTAACGTAACGACGTCGAGACGCGTTCTTTATAATACGGCCGCAGCGTCTTGCCGCCTTGTTAAGAATCCTCGTCTCATATATTTTGCTGGTCAGTTGTTGCAATAGCGATTACACTTTATAAGACATCGTATATTCTGAACACTCAGAAAATGAAGTAAACAACTAAAAAATGGCCCAAAGGAAATTTCCCTACTGAATAATTGATAAAAGATCTGACTTTAATGAATGTGGCCCTTTCCTACTTCAACATTTTGCAATCATATTCCGTTCCACAATGACCGCATCCACTTTGTTACCAACCCTGACGAGCTCCGGGACATTATTCGAAATGCAGTTGATTATGACCCAGGTGACCAATCAAAGTTCAAAATACCGAAATTGTCCATGAACTAGAGATTATATCGACATCATCACCAAATTTATATTATTATTCTTTTCAAGTTTCTGATATTTATTCGTTTCGCTCGATCTTCTTCAATACACTTCTTTATTTCATCAATATCACTGATGAGATAAATCATCTCCGAATTCATTTCTGAGATATATTTGGGGCAGAAGGGCTGCTCGCAACGAAAACGTCAATACCGTTTTTGTTTCTATTTTTTGTTTCATGATAGATATAAGGATATGAGGGACTCTTTCCTGTTCTGAATTCCATTAAAAGAAGGATAAAAAATCCTTTTCACTTCCAGAATGACCGTAACCACGTTGTTACCATAACCCTGACGATCAACTGCTGGATATTTCTCCTGCATTCATGTTGTATTCACGCTTTTTTGTTCTTGCCTATGGAATTACTATTCGCAAATACCTTTTCTACTTCAACATTCCTTGTAGTGGTCGACGGAGTTTCATCTGACTCTCTTATCATAAATGCTGGTGTTCCGCAAGGATCAATTCTAGCATCAACATTTCGCAATCCTCTCTCGTTCCAGAATGACCGCAACCTCCTTGTTACCAACCCTCACGATCGACTCCTGGATATTACTCCTGCATTCATGTTGTATTCACGCTTTTCTGTTCTTGTCTATGGAGTTACTATTCGCAAACTTTGAGATCTGAATTAAATTAATGTGGCCCTTTTCTACTTCAACATTCCTTGTAGTGGTCTACGGAGTTTCATCTGACTCTCTTATCATAAATGCTGGTGTTCCGCAAGGATCAATTCTAGCACCAACACTAGTTCTACTCCATATCAACGATTTGTTGGAAGCAACTTCATGTCCAGTACAGAGCTTCGCAGATGATAGTACCCTTAATACCGCCTTCTCTTCCAGGGCTCCATTACCAGCCAGGAAAATCAGAAACGAACGAGGGAGAAATGTTGACAACATAAATATGGCAACAATTCTCAAATGGGGATCCAATAACTTGGTAGATTTCAATGCAAACAAAACACAAGCATGCTTTTTCTCTAGGAAAGCCGATCTCACTGTGCTCAACATAAGCTCACCAGGAGTAACCTTACCTTTGAAGACATCCATTTCGATGCTTGGTATTACTATCAGCAACAACCTTTCTTGGGCAAATGACATGAGATCAATTGCTAAAAGTTCATCCCAAAGACTTGGTTTTCTGTTTCGGGCCAGGAGATATTTCAATTCCGGTCAGCTGCTTATTATCTTTATGGCACAGATTCGACCTGTCCTGGAATACTGTTTCCATATTCGGATTGCAGCACCCAAACATACCCTGAAACTTTTGGATTCTGTCCAAAAAACAGCAATTCGTCTCGTGGGCGATACCTCGCTTACAAACTCACTCACTTCTCTGGAACACCGTAGAAAAGTTGGCGATCTAGCTCTATTTTATATATAGATATTTTCATGGACGATGCTCTTCTGAAATATCAACAAGTGTTCCTCCCTTGGCAGTCCCCGCGAGATTAACCCGTCGAGTTGAGTCTTCGCACCCCTTCGTGGTCACTTTGGAGACCTGCAGAACATTTCTTTCCAAAGACTCGGTCATCCAACGAACAGCAAGGCTCTGGAACACATTGCCGAGGGAGGTGTTCTCCGAGTCATATAACCTCCAGAAATGTAAGAATAACACCAATTCCTACCTCATTTCCCTTGGTTCTCACGATGATCTCCGAACATTACAGGATATCCCTTTTCCTGGGAACCAGAAAATAAAAAAAAAATCCTTTTCCGTTCCAGAATGACTGCATCCAGCACGTTGTTGCCAACCCTGACGATCACCTGGATATTACTCCTGCGAGCCACTTCGCCGAGTGCATCCCCCATCGAGGAGCCTTACCGTTATTACAACGTGGGGGTGCTGATGGCCTCCCACCTCAACTACCCCTTCGACCTGGAGAGGTGTGGCCCGGCCATAGACATGGCACTCGAGGAGATCAACGACAAGTATATGGCGCAGCACAGGATCAGATTGACGAAGGTGCAGAGAAGGTGAGAAAATAACACAGATTAAATAACAAAGTAGATGTCCACGGCGATTTATTCGTGAATCATTGAAAAAATATACGTGTCCCTCCCGAATCGTTGAGATTTGCCGTCATTACAACGTCGAGGTGTTGATGGTCTCCCACCTGAACTGACATGGCGCTCGAGGAGATCAACGACAAGTATATGGCGCAGCACAAGACCAGATTGACGAAGGTGCAGAGAAGGTGAGAAAATAACACAGATTAAATAACAATCAGTAGATGTCCACGGCGATTTATTCGTGAATCATTGAAAAAATATACGTGTCCCTCCCGAATCGTTGAGATTTACCGTCATTACAACGTCGAGGTGTTGATGGTCTCCCACCTGAACTGACATGGCGCTCGAGGAGATCAACGATAAGTATATGGCGCAGCACAAGATCAGATTGACGAAGGTGCAGAGAAGGTGAGAAAATAACACAGATTGAATAACAATCAGTAGATGTACAGGGCGATTTATTCGTGAATCATTGGAAAAATATTTGTGTGCTCCCGAATCAGGATGATTTCCTCTGTGTTTCTTTGATTACTGAAAGGATAGTAATCCTCCAAAGGCACTTTCGTCAAATTTGAACAAATGTGTTTTTTTCTTGTATCCTCCATTCGACTTCGCGGTCACGAAAACTACTAAACAACCACTAAATTCGCTATTTTTCAAAATCAAATCACAAGTTTAGACTGATCACTTCAGAAGAGTGATAAATATATGCCTGCAAAATGATGTCTGCAACGCAGGTGTTATAACTTTCAATTTCACGTCGATGATTTTATGATTTTAATGTAATGTAATATCTTCTCAATATTTATTGAACCTTCTTCCGGTCACAGAAGAAAATAGTGTAATACACACGGGAAAAATATCAGATTTTAGCTCAGTGTAATTTGTCTCCCTCCGCTACGCTTCGGGAGACAACACAGCCTGGAGCTAAAGTATACTATCTTTTTGCCTTGTATAATAAATAACTATTTTTTATGTTAACTTTGAACTTCTCTCACGGACAAACGGTACATTTTGGTTTATAAATGAATTGGGTCCAATCAACTTATTTCGACCTCTATTATACATGTGGTATCTCTGTGTCCCAGCAATTTTGGGACACCCTGTATATCGTGGGCATACAAGCAGAACCCTGTAAGTCCACTTTTTTCGGAAATGAGGAATTTATCACACATAAGTCCATATTAGCGTAACGCTCCAGGCAAATAAACATTCAAGTCCATTTTGCGTTTGTTTCCGGAGATATAGTCAATGAAAATCCACTTAAGTCAATTTAATTTCGTTATCATTTCACGGGTTGATTCATATATTCAATTGCGTTTTTCTCCTTATATTATTTTCTGGACTTACATGATTCTGCTTGTACGCCCACGATATATTCCTCAGATTCAGATGAGCTCAATTTCTCTTGTATTAAAATCCGTTTGTACTAAACGGTCTTATTTGTTCTGTAAGCAACTTCCAAGTCTTGTTGATGTATAGGAATGAAGCTAATTTGAAATCCGAAACGAATAGGTAAAAGTTGTAAATATATTAGATACAATTTCGATTATTGTTTCTGATAGGATAGGATAAACTTCTTGAATTGCTTTTTCACGGAGTTTCTTGGAAAGGATATCAATTCAACGTTTTATCTAGTAATATCCACGGTTGACTGCAATCTGTTTCATGATATTGAGTTCTTTATTAAAAAATTTCTGTGAGAGGACATTGCAATAAGGACCATATATAATGTTTATAAGGGTGAGCTGATTCATTATGAAAGGTGATTTCAGTGCGGAAAGGTGTATGAAAAATTGATAAAAATAATAGGAATTGAATTTTGAATTTGGATTCATTGTATTGATATATGTATAAATGAAAAGTGTATTTTTGTCTATTGGTTTCTCAAAAATTATTGTATGCACGACCAGGGGTAAAGTAGTACTTTAGCGCCCGGAATTCGGAATTCCAGAAAATTCAAGTCAGGAGGAACATCTTTCGGACTTATTAAAAATTACAAATTACGGACAAATTAAAAGTTCATGGAGGTGATACTAATTTATTGAATTATAGTGCCAATGCCCATCGTCATAATCTCATTGAAATTTGTTAACATTTTTAAAAATTTATAATGAAACAACGGGTTTTCATAAAAATGAACGGCCCCGTGTCCTGAGAGCTCATTCATTCTATTTTATTCAAAATTTCAAGACCAAACAGGGACTTTTCAAAGTCCGAAACATTTCCCCTTGAATAATAATTGTTACATCATCAAAGAGTGTGTAGGTGACTTTGAGCTATCCTTCTTTCCTTTGATATTAATTTTTTGTTTAGAGATAACCTCTGTTCTTGTCTGAAATAAGGATTCCTATTTTTGGTATGTTTCAAACAATTTAACTCCATAGTCTTATATTACGATGACAATGATTTGTTTCGTATGGAGGTTTGAAAGAATGTTGGTAGGTAAATTTATTTCAGCATCTCTGATTGTTCACTCTACACTTGTTGACCGGAAAGTTCTGTATATTCCGATCATTCAATAGAGAGGATCGAATGCAATCTACTGGAACTCCGAAACATATCCAAGATTACATTGGAGATTTGGGATTCATCGAGAAAGGAATCCTTCAGTTGTCCTTGTCCTTTTCCGTTTCCTCTCTTGATCGTATGTGACACTATATTCGATATGGACATCGACATCATGAATATCCTCTATCACCACCTAACTTATGGTACTCGGTCGATAAATCATTATTCTATACTATAAACTTGAACCACAAACCTTATACAGTACGATTTTTGAATTCGAAAACTTGCAGTCGGGTGTAAATAAGTATCATTCAATTTTTGTTTTTGGGATGTATGACAAATTGTTATTCATCATACAGGACGTGAAAAAAAATTCTGAATTAAGAAATCCTAATCACGAATCTGCGATTGAAAGTCAATAAAAATAAAAAGTTTCCACCGTTCAAGTTTGAACCACTTGATGATTGGGTGAAATTATTGAAAAGGAATATTCTCAGATAAATTATATAAATAATAAAGATATACATTGAGAATTCACATTCTCTATGTGATCAAAATATCAATTCTTTCTCGAACTATTCAACAGGAAACAACTACTTTAAGTTATATTTTTATATCAAAATACATCATAGTATTTATCAGATCAATTTCAAAGGATTTTTCATTTTTATGCTCTCCTTTTGGATGTTCAACAGATATAATTCAATGTTCGACGTGGCAAATAGCCAAGTAGTTGTTGTCTGTTATATATATAGAATGATGTTATGTGGATGCCAATTCTCAACTTCAGAAGATTTTGTGTTCAAATTCTTATCGTGTGTGTTCAATAGATATATCTATAGGTATAATTCAATGTTCGTCGTGGCATATAGCCAGGAAAGAGGAAAGTAGTTGTTTTCTGTTGAATAAACCGGGGAAGAATTGATATTTTGATCACATAAAGAATGTGAATTCTAATTGTATTTCTTTATATATAAATATATCCATTTTTTCATGTTCATAATTTAACTGAGAATATTCCTTTTCATAATCATTCAATTCGCTTTATCACGAATTAATTATCATGAGTACATATTTTTCTCTAATTCAGACATACAGATTGACACTTTTCATAACTGAGTCATAGTGAAGTTAAGAAACTGAATCTGATATACACTGTGCCCAAGGGCGTGGCCAGCCAGAAAGCTAGGGGGGAGGGGCACCATAAAAAAAACTAAAGAGGAAAATTAAATAAGAAAAGTTCCAATGAGAATAATTGAAACACGGAAAAAATCTATATAGAATATCAATTGGAAACTAATCTTCTAGGGTTCTTTGCGAATTCGTTGGTCACTTTGTTGACGAAATCGTTCAAGTTTTTGAAAAAATTTTGATTTTGCCTATATGTACACTCATCATTGCGAGGCCATTGAGTCAATCTTCAGACAAGATGATGGTGCTCGTCAACCAGGTTTTGATGCTCCAAAGGCTACACTAAATGACCTTTCAACTGTACAAAACATTTTTTTTTCATTGTACCAGTATTTCACCTGATGAAGCTACTGTGTTATCGAAACATGTCGTGTGATTAAGAATTTTGTAAAAATTTCATCGTTTGTGAAGTTTTTACATTTGCATGGATTTCCATCGAGTATAATGGCCGAGTCAATTCAAAATAATACGTACATAATTTTACAACTTCTGCCACTGATACATGCCAAAATAAAAAATCAAGATCAATCTCACAATCTCAAGGATTATTTTGCATTTTTATGGTGAAAACGGGATCAGATTCGTTCCCGAAACGTCCAAAACTAGATAAGTAAAATTGTACTTTTTCAACATATTCCTTCATTCTTCTTCTACTTCTTCAAACATTTTTCAAACAATGAAATTTTAGGCGAAGTGACACTTTGGGGCAAAACATGATTTGATTATTGAATAATATACCTGTACCAACAATTTTATCTATAATATGTATACCTACATCATATACAGACAAGGAGGGAAAATGCCAGACATCTAGAGAACTTTTTGTATCCCATTTTATTAAAAAATACAATGAGGAATTGTATTTTTTTTATGTTCTGGTTCCCACGAAAAGGGATATCCTGTTATGTTCAGAGAACATCGTGAGAACCAAGGAAAATGATGTAGGAATTGGTGTTCTTCAAGTTTCTGGAGGTTATATGCCTCGTGAAACACCTCCCTTGGAATGTGTTCCAGAGCCTCGCTGTTCGTTCGATGAACGAGCCTTTGGAAAGAGATGTTCTGCAGGTCTCCAAAGTTACCACGAAGGGGTGCGAAGCCTCAACTCGACGGGTTGATCTCGCGGGGACTGTCAAGGGAGGAACAATTGTTGAAATTTCAGAAGAGCATCGCGTCCATGAAAAAACTTATAAAATAGAGCCAGATCGCCAACTTTTCTATACGGCGTTCCAGAGAAGTGAATATTTTCTACTTTAATGCACTAG